TTGGTCTGACAGGACCTGCCACTGATGAACCCGTGCTGATTGCCCCTAAGCATGCAGTCCCCTGCTGGCCCCTCCTGAATGTGTGCCAGAATTATTTTCTCAAACAGCTTGCCTAGGATCGAGGTAAGACTAACTGGCCTATAGTTTCCCGGGTCCTCCTTCCTCCCTTTTTTGAAGATTGGAACCACACTGGCCCTCTTCCAGTCCTCCGGCACCTCTCCAGTGCACCACGAGTGCTCGTAAAGCCGTGCCAGGGGACTTGCAATGACCTCAGCCAGTTCCTTTAGACCTCTAGGGTGGAGATCATCTGGACCGGCTGACTTGAATACGTCCAGCCCCTCCAGAAGCTCCCTAACTAAGTCCTCACTAACCCTTGGCCCAGGTTTGCCTCCCCCGGGGCCCAAAGGGGGCCCAGCAGGGAGGTGGCTGTTCTGGTTCCTACTTAGGAAGACGGAGGCAAAGAAATCGTTAAACATGTTAGCTTTGTCGTCTGGTGTGATGACCAAGTTTCCCAACGCGTCCCAACTTCCAGAAAGCCAAGGCCTGGAAGGAAGGATTTTTCTCTACCACTAAAAAAGCAGTTGGTGCCTCTTGTCCCAGAGCCACCCACTGGCCAGATGGTGCCCAACAAAGCGAGGAGGAAGACACTCAAGGCAAACTGGTCATCTGAAGAAGCCCAGAAAGGTCTTGATTGAGCCCAGGGCATCTGAAGGGGAGCAGGATGATGAAGCAACTCTGGTTCCTCAGATGAAGAATGGGGCACAGGCCTTGTGACAATAGCTTTCGGGTGTCTCTTCTGGGTATTGTCAGGTTGACTCCCAGATCTGTGCATGCTACCTTTGAGGAGAGCTTCCCAGTATGTTTCTAACTCTACCTCCCAGCCACGAGGGTCCTTCATGTCCTCCTCAGAACAATGAGTCTCTCTACTTTCCCCTGAACAAGCCACACAGACGTGCAACCTCTGTCCACTGGGCCAGGGCCAGATACAGAGTCTGGGGTCACTTGCATGCCAGTCCACTGCACCATGTAATACAATTCCTTAACTCTTCATAAGCCCCATTTTACAGATAAAGAAACTGAGACACAGAGAAGACTACTCCAGGTCCCACAGTAAATAAGCGGCAGAGCTGCGTGACTCCTGACTCTAGGCTCCATATCCACTCCCAGCCCCTTCCTATGGAGTGAATGCGTGTTGGGGGAAGAGACAGAGAAGTACTTATAACTCATTGGAGGATTGAGCACCTCCAGGCTTCAACTCCTAGCTGTTGCCTTGAGGAAACCGTTATCTCTGTGTTTTCTTTCTGCAGACTTGAAGACGAAGGAGCTGCAAGGTGAGGACCTTATCTCTAGACCCTGGCCTGCCTTCTCCACTGCTTGGTAAACTCATTCCTTTAGCATGTGGGCCCCTGTCTGAATGTTCACACTAGTCTCTCTAAGTCCCCAAGGCTCAGGATCTGTCAATGGGCTGTGCTTGCTTTGTGTCTTCCCCATAGTATGGTCCCTAAACTGCATGCCCCAGACATTAAGAGGAAGACAGGATTTATCTTCACCACATGAATCTCAGCTCTGCATTTGGGGGACAGTAGATAGTGCTGGCTGAGGGGAGCTGGGCAAAATGAACTATAGACTACCAAACTTTCTCACCAGTTCAGAGGTCTGTGGATAAGGGAGAAGTCTTGGAAGAGAAGAAAGAAGGAAATGAAGCCTGGGCAAGGAGTTTCCTCAAAGAATTAGCTGGCAGGAACTCTAGGTCTCTGATCCCAGGAACCAGAGGCTGCCAAATGCCTTTAAATGTAGGAGTAAGCAGTTGAGGAACTGGCCTCTTCCATAATTAAGGGATCTCTTTAGGCTCCTGCCTCTTATCACTGAAGTGCAGTCAGCCAGAGCCACTGCCAGCTTCCTACATTACAGAGAATGAAGAGGGGAAATCCAGTGATTTCTCCATACAACTAACAAGAAAATCCCCTTCCCTATGGAGGGGTCGGGTCGGGGGAGGAGACCTCCAACAGGGGTCCTCAGTGGAGGGATCCAGGGTTTCTTTGTGTCCTCTCCATCTGCTGTAGGAGGAACCAAGGCCACTTGCTCCCACCACCCCATGACAGTCCAGCCCCACCCTCTCCACTTCCATCTCTTTAAGCCCATGGTCTTTGTGCTTGGTCCTCCCCATGGCATTAAGTGGAGCCTGGGCCCATTGTTCAACTTTGCTGACAAGGCAAGTTCTGTCTTTCCTTCTCTAGTATGTTCAAGTCCATGGTGGTATCATCCCATGTGCCTCAGTGACCCAGAAACAGCTGTTTTCATTGGTGGAGAAGAAGCCCAACAACAGTCTTATAAGGATCCTTTCTGGACACTACAAACTGGTGAGAAGTTTGGGGTGGGATGGGGAGAGAGAGAGTGAGTGAGTGAGTGAGTGAGTGTGTGTGTGTGTGTGTGTGTGTACGCAAAGTGTCTGTGGGCAGTGGAGAGTTGTCCTTAGAAGAGAGGTCTGGATGGGGACTGGCATGGAGCTGTCTGCTGAGAGAGAAGCACTCTGGAGCCTAGTGGCTCTGTCCCTGTGAGTGGGTGTCCCCGTGATGCCTTATCTTGCCTTGACATGTGTCATTACTCTTGTTTTCTTTTTTCCATTGTCCCTCCCCTTGTTGTCTATTTTATCCTTTATATGCATTCGTCCTTTTTCTGTCTTCCTTCCTCCCTTGGTGGCTCCAGTTCCTTTCTTGGTAGGAAGCTACATTTAGTTGAGGCTGGAAGGCATTCATTGGTTGCATGCCATGGGCCACAGTCTGAGCCTACAGCCCTGTACAGTTCAGATCTTGGCCACGTTAGGAGCCGTGTAGGATCAGGCAGTGGGAGTTGGGTAGTTTTCCATGAGTAGGTGCAGCAGTGTGTTTTGCAGCATGTGTACTGGGGAAGCGCAGGAGGGTGAATCCAGGGAGTTACTGCTTTCTACACCTATATTGTTCCTCATAGATTTCACAGATATTAGGGCTGGAAGGGACCTCATGAGATCATTGGGTCCAGCCCCCTGCCCAAGGGGCAAGAAATAAGCTGAGGTCAGATGACCCCAGCAAGGTAAGCATCCAGGCATTTCTTGAACGTATCCAGAGTAGATGCTTGTACCACTTCTGGGGGTAGTCTATTCCAGACTCTAGAGACTCGGATGGTAAAGACATTTTTCCTTATGTCCAGTCTAAAATGGTCTTCTAGCAGTTTGTGACTTGGGGTGCCCTGGTGAACAGATGTTCTCCCAATTCCTGATGCACATCCTTTATATACTTACAGGCAAGCCACCAAGTCACCGCTGAGCCTTCGCTTTTTCAGGCTAAAGAGTCCCATGCCTGTCAGCCTCTCCTCATAAAGCCTGTTCTCTTGACCTCTAACCATGCATGTGGCTCTTCTCTGGACTCTCTCAAACTTCTCTACATCCTTTCTAAAGCCCAGAATTTAATGCAGTACTCCAGCTGCGGCCTCACCAAGGCCAAGTTAAGTGGGAGGATGACTTCTTGGGTCATGCTTGAGAAGCATTGGTAGATGCAGGCCAGAGTTTTAATTGTTTTGCCAGCTGCGGCATTGCATTGGTGGCTCATGTTCATCCTGTGATCAATCATGACCCCCAAGTCTTTCAGTCATGTGCTAGTGAGTGTAACACTGTTGAGCCTATAAGTATGATGTGGGTTCTTTCTCCCGAGGTGGAGCACCTTGCATTTCTTTGTGTTGAATATCATCAGGTTTTGATCGGGCTACCTTGCAAGTCTGTCCAGTTTGGCCTGAATCCTCAGCCTATCCTCTAGCATGACTGCACTTCCTCATAATTTGGTGTCATCTGCGAACTCAACCAGTCTGCTTCTGACACCCGAATCCAGATCATTTACGAATATATGAAAAAGTACTGGTTTGAGTACTGAGCCCTGGGGGATGCCACTGATCACCATGTGCCATGTTGACTCAGTTCCTTCAACTGTCATTCTCTGGGTCCAACCATGGAGCCAGTTCCCCAGTCATTGGACCATAAAGTTGTCGAGGCCGCAGTTCCCCAATTTTACCATGAGGACGTCATGGGAGACCAAGTCAAAGGCTTTTTTGAAATCCAAACATATGACATCAACCTCTTCTCCCTTTTCCAGGTGATATGTCACCTGGTCATAGAAGGAAATGAGGTTGGTTAGACAGACCTTTTCAGCTCTTGTCTCCTAGCTAGTTAGCTGGCCACACTTAAGCACAGAAACCCTGCTGTAAACCTTTTCTTTCAGCAATGAGGCACTAAGGGTGAGGAATGAAAGGAGCAGGGTCCTGAGAGGCTTGTCCAGGGGAGGGGGGTCATTTGAGTCTGAGAAAATGAAGGGTTCAAAACTCCATCCTGTCTACAGGTGCTGCTCCTACAGATGATGATTTCTGATTCCCAGTGGACCTGCCCCTTCTAAGCTCTGTGCCACTCTGCTTATGGGCCACATTGCCACATATTACTCGGACACCATATGTGTCTATGTCTTCAGGGGTGCAAAGGAGGGTACACACCATAGCAGCATCTGCATCCTGGACACTGTCACCTGGAAGTGGCTCCCTATGGCTGTAAATATTGGAGCTTTCCTAGGAGAGGAAAAAAGCATGGGGATGGTGGGGAGAAGCTGCTAGGAATGCAAGAGCAATGTCTCTGGGCCCTGGGACATCCCCTCATGCTTGTTCCTGTCCTTACATTTACTTTGCCCCTGGATCAGTGTCACAGGCACTGTGAATTGTCCACTGTCTGTCCAGCTGTGGGAGGGGTGTGGCTCCGGTAATTTGTTGGGAGTCCTCAGAAGGACAAAGGGGCGATGGCATACCTTTGCTTCTGTAACCCGGGCAGTACTCCCTCTCCAAGTGAAGGGATCAAAGCAGGTGCACAACCACTGTGGAAGGTGTAGGGACTCTCCTCCCCCTATAGAGCAGTGCCAGACCACCAATGGGGACTTAACCATGTACCGTTTAATAAGAGGACAGTACTGGGACCATAACCAGTATAAACCAGGGGGTATAGGGGAGACAACGCCCTGAGCGGGTAGGATTCAACAAAGGTTAGATGCTTACAATCATAGACATATTCATCCAGTTGACAAAAGACAGGGTTAACCAAAATGTAAAACACAAACAGCTGGCTGTAGACTATTGGGTGGTGGAGGTGGTGAGGGGCACATACAAAATGTCAAATGACAAGGAAATATAGGGCAGCCTAGGTACCTGGAGGGGGAGAAAACACAATGGCCCCTTTCCGCTGCAACAAGAATTTCTCCGTTAATTTACTCACCTCAAGTTAGACTTGAGCTTAGCTTTCCCACATGGTGGGTGGGAACTTTACCACACAGCCACCAGTACTGGTACTGCTTCAAGCTGCTAGGGGTCTTGACCTTCCTGAAGCCCCAGCCTCACATCGAACTGCCCCGCCTCTTACTGGAGGAGCTGGAAGCAGAGCTGGGAACCTCTCTGGTCCCTGCTCAGATCCTTGCTGGAGCGGGGGAGCCTCTCCTGCTGGCTGCAGCCTCTGGTAGGGGATCCTGGAGCCCAGTGGGGAGCCTCTCCTGCCGGCCATGCTGCTGAGGGTCCCACTCCTGCCTGCAGGTCCCACTCCTTCAGGCTTTTCTGGGGCAACTGTTCCTGGCCTAGCTCTTGCCAGCTCTTTGAATCTCCTTCCTTGTGGTCCCTTGCTGATCTCTCCTGAGCCAGCTGCTCTGCCCTTTTTTTTTCCCCCTCCTTGTGACCCAAGGGGCCAATCAGGGGACATGGAGGGTGAGTCTCTGGGGCCTGATTGGTGAGGAAAGGGAATCCCAAATCCTCCAATCATCTTTTACCCCTTCAAAAGCCCTGGACCAAATCATTACCAGATTGGTGAGGAAAGGGAATCCCAAGTCCTCTAATCATCATTTGCCCTTTCAAAACCCCTGGGCTAAGTCACTGCCAGCTAGCCCATCATACTTCCAATCCACACCCCTGAGTCACTGATTTGTTTCATCCCTTGGGGCAAGCCATGTGAACTCCTGTATCTTCATCAGAAAAACACAGGCTAAAAAACAGTACTTCACTGGAAACTACGTTTTTTGTGAACTGAGCTGATTGCATCTGAGCCAGGCTTCAGGGGTGGAGAATATCTCACTGACTGTGGGGGAAGTGACCTCCATTCTTGAGAGGCTGCTGAAAACTGGCCTTAGACACGTAGGTGGTGAACTGGCTTGGGGTGCTCAGGCTGTGGTGCTCCTTACCCAATACAGGGGGAATGGATTTGCTTCTCATTAGAGAGCTGCACTTCATCTTTGTGTGCATTCCCCTTCCCTCTTTAGCTCCTGCAGAGCCAGGGACAAAGGGAACACCAGAGCAAGTAGTGGCCAAGTTGCTCCCTTCCCTAAGTGTGCAGAATTAAGGCATGAGGGAAGTTAGGGTGTGGGTTTAGCAGCGATGTGCACAATTCCAGTGTGACACTGTGGGTGGTGATGCTCCTTCCCTCCTACTCTTAAGATAATAGATAGCTTGTGGTGGGGAGGGGTGCATTCAGGTCAGCAAGAGTAGGAAGCAGCAGAACAGATGTTGCCTACTTAAGGCACAGAGTTCTCGCCAGGGGACTGGTGGAGTGACACCAGGCACTCACCATGCCTCATTTGGATGACTGGGCCAGGATGAACCTGGCCCACGGTTGAGATGTGAAACCTGATTGGCGAACTCCTTCTTTAGGCCAAGGAGAAGATGCTGGCACTGGGCTACCACAGTGCAACCATCTCTTCATCTTTGGAGGGGCTTTCCCCAAGACCACAGCACTGGAGTCTGTGGCCTGCAACAACACACTCTATATCTTCAACTCGGAGTATGAGATTTGGTACCAGCCCATTGTGGAGGAGGAAAATCCCCTTCCTAGACTTGGGTGAGAAGCTTTTGATTCAGCCCTTAAAGTCATAGCATAGGAGGCATCCTTTGTTTCTGTCTCCTCAGTCCCTACATCTGGGAGCAAGTGACTGCTTGATTGTTCTTCGTGGTCTGGTCCCCAGGGCTGAGTTCAGCCCTAGTTTTAAATATCTCCAGTGAGAGTGTTCCCAGCTATATTTCCATGGGAGAGATGGAGTGCTCTCCAGCAGAAGTGTCATGGTTGTGGGCATGTGAATTGTCTTGGCCCAAAAAGCTGTAGGTTAATGGCTCCCCCAAAACATGACCTTTGGGAATGGAAATTGGTTTGGATATCAGGAGGTTCTTGAGGTTGCCTGGCTTACTCACCACCTCTCTTCCCAGCCACTCAGCCACTCTGCTGAGAAACAAGCTCATATTTCAGGGGGGCAAAGGACATCTGCCTACCTGAATGATATGTGCATCCTGGATGTGGTTGAGAATGGGACACTGCCTTTCCTGTCAGGCTTTACCAGAGGGTTAGGGCAGGGTAGGCAATACAGGGCACCCTACCTTAGGAAGGTGCATTCTGATGGCTGGGACAATGAGGCCGAAAGCCATCGTGCTTAGGACATGGGAAGAGGAGGTCTGGTTGTAAGAGGCCCTGACTGGGAAGTAGGAACGGGATGCAACTGGTGTGAGGAAGGCCCTGATGGGTGGAGAAGGAATGGTCTGGCCCAGTGGAGGACATAAGAAATGTAAGGCACTTGCCATGGCAGAAGTCTGGCTAACAGGGTAGACAAATTACTGCTCTGATGTGATGGACAAAACCTGTGTCCCTCAAATTCAGCACAGAGCTCTGTCTTGCAGTGGGGCTAGGAAATGCTGCTAGGCTTGCTCCTCATTTACAGTCTTTACTCCTTTTCCCCTGTGCATCAGGTTACATGGAGTATACAACTGTTCCATTTCTCCCAGGATAGTCTTCTGCAGGCTGGTAAGATCTTGCTGTAGGACCAAGTGCCAACTCTTTTTATGGCAGGGAGTGGTGCCAAGTTGGAAAAGTTGCTTCCTCCATACCAGTAGGGCTGCCATCCAGCACAACTTCCCATCCCTGGCAGCTGTACTGAAAAAGAGCTGGAGAAAGGAAGACACCCTGTACTCTGAATGCTCAGGTCCTGAAGGGAAGCCTTGGCCACCTCATTAGAACCTTCTATCTGAGATATTCTGGTGTTTTATAGGCACTGCTTATACCTCACAGCATCAACGGCACAGAAAAGGAAATGACTTGTTTAGGGTGACCTAGAAAGGCAGTGGCAAACCTGAGACTAGAACTCACAAGTCCTGACTACTATCTATTGTCCAAACCACTCCCCCATGCTTCTTCTAGGTAAGGCTGCACCCCTAGGAGATGAAGGGACAGCGGGTTCCCCAATAGATTTTGCTCTAGTTTCCAATTCTAGTTTCCATGATGCAACAGCCATGTCTGACCAGAGGGTCCTGATCAGTGGAGGCTGCAATGCTAAAGAGGCCTTACACTTTTTACCTTGGTGAGTAACTCTCCAGCCCCGCTGCCGAATTGCTGTTGGCTCTGGAAACTTTGGTCTCTCTGGCATGTCTAGCAGCCTTGTGTTCAATCATTTGTGTTGTTCCTGGCATAGAGGGGATTGTACTGGTGGTGTCCTTTCTGTTGCAGACACTTTCACATGGAACACAGTAACCCACCATGACCTCTGCTTTGTGTCCCAATCTGAACACATGCTGCTCAATCTGATCTCCATCCATCTGCCTGATGTTGATAAGGAAAGAAAGGGCAAGCACAGCCTATGCACACTGCTTGTGTTCCTTGGCTTAGACTGTGCTGGGACTTTCTATAACAGCACCAGCAGGATCCAGTTGGACCTAGGAGAAGAGGCAGCACTTTCTGAGGCCCAGCCTAGAACAGCAGGGGTTCTGTACCTGGGCAAATAGAGGCAGTGATGGCTAGATTGTGGATGACAATAGATGAATCAAAGCTATGAAATGAGGAGTCAGCATCCATATGTTTC